TTGGCGCTTCAGAAGGCGTGGGACGATATCGACGTCGACTACCTGCGGTGTACTGTCGATTCAGTCATCGAGAGTCTGAAGGCCAGGTAAGAGCACAAGGATCGAACTTTGAACACCTGCTGTCCTAAGTGATCTTGTAGTTCTACTCTATCCTCAGTGAAGTTGATTTGTACCTCTGGTCTCTGTCCTTGAAGTTACGCCTACAAACGTGGCGTCCTATACTTTTCAGCCATCCTGTAATTTGAGGACTTCCAGCACGTACACGGTGTCCCAAAATTGTGAGCATCAAATCATTGCGATGTATTCGAAGCTTTTAAGATGAGAAGAACCGAACCTATATGCACGCTTGCTTACATTATGCGCAAACACAAGCTACAATCAAATCTCAAAAGATCCCATTGAGTGCGGATAGAGGCTTAAAATCTTTTCTCGAACTTCTCTAACTCCTTTTCTCGAATCAACATTAACGGCACCAAGATCTTCAGTTGAAATTAGTTTACATGTATCGACCAGTTGATTCAAACGGTGCTGATGACTCGCGTCATTTTCAACAATAAGTTAGCCGAGTACCTCATATCGAAGATTTACAGAACTGTTATACCAGTTGCTAATTACGGTGCGGACGCTGGCCCGTGACAAAGTAAGTGAAGCACGCATCGCTAAGTGGAGCCACAAAAAGGCTCCGTTGGACGGCATGTTTCGTGATTTTCAAAAAGGTAGCGTTCAGTAATAGCTCCTGCTGCTGATGAAGTGCGCGAAGCTCGTCTTGGGTGGCTTCGCCTCGTCCTGTCCTCCACGCTTATAAACAGTGTCACCCTGCATGGAACGAGCTCACTCTTGCTTGGAACATTCTCCCCCAAAGCTTTTGTGATTATAAACGTGTAACCAATTGTATCGAAATTATGAATGCCATGCTCTGATCGTGATTCTGACTCTGTCACAAGAACGAGGTGAGCCCTGGCAACCTTATGACCTTTATGACGAAAAATGAAAGAGAAGATGGGGATTAGTGCGATAAGAAAAAAGCAGCGAATCATTGTTTCCAACTGAAAAGCTTCAAAAAAGTTTTCAAAAAAGGGGTTGGATGAGAATTAGACCAGAAAAATGGAGTAGAAGGGGTGTTTCGACGAGCTAAACAATGTGTGTCATTGCGTACATGTGGGTCTTGGTACGACTAGCAGCCCACAGCGAGCGAAAATGTTCAGTCGATACACTCAAAATCATTAGCATAACTTATCTGAGACACGGTTGGTTGCAAAAGTTACTCACTTTTTTTCATCGTCGTAAGGTAGAAACCTATAAAATGAACGCTGCAGCAAAAAATTAACAGGAGAAGAAAAAAACATCCCTTCACCACTCGGCTATCACCACGTAAAAAACTTTTTTATTGGGAGTTGTGCCTTCAATGGAGACATTACCGATATGATCAACTGGACGGCAGTAATGGAGGGATAATGCGCTTCGAATAGTATAACTTCGGAAAATAAGGCGACCTTTTTGTGTCTGAGTACAGTAAAACCTTAGTTTGCCAATTTGATTTAGAGGTGAGGTTGTTGGGGAACTTTCGAAATTTCTAATATCTTATTCCAGGATTACAAGTTCCCGATGTTTGTTGAACTGGGTGCTGGTCGACAGCTTGGTGCGATGTTGATGCAGACGAGTAAAAAAGCGTATAAAAATTATCAGCACTTCAGTTGCTAAGCTATTGCTATTCGTTTTTGTCTCTCAATACCGACTTAGATTTTTTTTATGCCAGTGAGTTCAATTCGATATGATGTGGTATTGAAGTTTGATATTCTCGAAAAATTCTTTTGAGATATTATCTAAAGTTTTGATATAATAAAGCATCTGAATGAGTTGCTTGGGACATTATCTAAACCGTGTAAGGAATTTATGGGTTGAAAGTAATACCGAACGTAGTCTTCAGGAAGGTTTTTCAGATTCGTTTCAAGGTTAAGCTTGCTCATTGATGATTTATGAGTAAATCGAAGGCTGTTTTTCTCTTGAACTAATGAAGAGGGTTGTGTTGGCGGGGACCAGGGCATACAAGGCTGCTAGTATCGCAGAAAATGTTAACAACGATAAGAGCTGAAAACAGGTGCAGAGCGAAACAAAACCGTCTATCACTGTAACATCGTATTAACAGAAAACTTTGACTCAGAAGTACAATGGGAAGGTGATGGTGTGTACGCACATGCAGGGTGGTAAAGAGTAGCATTTCTGTATCAATTGTGGGCTTTTAAATCACATTCTCAAACCATGATCAAATCCGTATTGCTTATCATGTGCGGAAAACTGTTTTTGGTTTTTGGCAATGGATACATAGTGAATACTTACTGAAGCGCAGCAAGGGCTCGGAGTCTACTAACGTCGTCCATCATGTTGGAGGGGATGGAGTTAGCGAATTCTCGATTCTGCTCCATCGCGTCTATTTCTGAGCAGCCACTGTTCCTTCCCACTACTTATTTTGAAGAACTAATCATAAACTGCGGCTCTGAGAACCTAATTCTATTACTATCTTGTTGTAATTCTTTGCGTGCGTGTTTATGTGCGTCTTTGTCGTTGATGAGTTCTTGGATGTGATGGTGAGTATGTCTAACCGAAACTATTTTCTTGATCCTGAAACGTTCATTCTTGTAAGAAATGCAGGCAACAGAGTGAAAGCTGGTGGATGACAAAAAACTAAAGCACTTGATAACGGCTGATAAGGTACTGTAGAAGGCAATGGTATATTAACATTGGGATTTTGACTGTATGGCCCGTGATGTGGAGTCTGAGGTGGCTAACTTGACGGGAAGTGACAACATCAGAAAAGATAAGAGCGATAACCATAACCTGGAAATCTCCCGGAATTGGAGTAGCTGCACCGTTCACAAGGAACACCCATGTAGTATGATCAAACATTTTGATATGATCCATGGCGACAGTGGGAGGCGGTTCTGGACAGTTTCGCCTTGATGTAGTCAGCTGTCGCAATCGACTGGAATTTTTTCCGAATATGCTTTCCATGTCACTTCTGTTAAGGTGATTTCGTTCAAGCTCTATTTTCACAACTCTTAGGGGACTCTCCTCCTCGCGAGATCAGTGGGTTTTTTCGCTTTTTTTGCCGCCGCGCTAGTCTCAACCGATATTCCCGCTTTTTGACTTGAAAAAGGAACCTATAATTATCGTAAATTCTGCTTTCAACACTTTGTACTCTTGAAAAAAACCATGGGTCATGAGATCCCAACTCCGACAATAGACCTTTTCGTTCTCTCATGATGGGGGAGCTATTATCAGAACTCATCAAATACTGTCTCTCCATTATCATCATCAAGTAACAGTTAAAGCTTCAGTTAATCACTAATTGTAGTTGACCATGGAGGGGTGGCGGAGGGTAGAGCAGGGCTCTGACATCTCCCCGCCTCCCTTCACCGAAGCATCCATTCTCGACGTTGTATAAGGAGACGTGAAGACGGGCAGTCAGAGCAATGGACAAGAGAACGCTATGAAGTTGAAGAGAAGGCAAACATGCCAAACAGCGAGAAGACTATGGGGCACTAGTCACTGTCGCATCGAAAAGCATGTCGCCATAGCGAACTGCATGCGTCTCGATACCGTGAATTCCGGTGTTTGGACGACTCAATCCAATGGCTGCTTTCATAGTCCGCCGGCCGGCCGGCGTGCCGGCGTGCCGGCGGAGGCAGTGCTAGCGGGGAGGAGGGAGGCAGACAGATAGGNAAACAGTTCACGCCCCTTCGAGGGGTTGAAAACAAACAACCTTCGAAGGGGCGTGGACTGTTTGCCTTACACTGTCTGCCTCCCTCCTTCCCCCTAGCACTGCCTCCGCCGGCACGTACGCCGGCACGCCGGCCGGCCGGCCGGCTGGCAGACTATGAAGGCAGCCAATGTGGCAAGTAGTAGGCCTATGACCGTATGGTAATTGTCGAGGAATATACAAACAATCGTATGGTCCATTATCTGCCGTCAAGATGATTAGGTACAAATTGCTCCTTTGTCGTTACCTAAAAAAATCTATGTATGACAGCAAACGAATAAAGGACGAGGCGTATAAAACGACATACGATTATGTCCGTCTAACCAAATAAGGAGCGTAAGCAGAGATCTCCGGAAGTGCAGCAGTCTCAATCGCAACGTCGTGACTCGTGCAAGTCGGATGGATGAAGTGGTAAAGGATGCGCAGAGCTTCCAGAGAACTTAAACTAAACGGCTCATGCTTGCAGCCAGTCTCAGCTACGTTACACTTGACATTGTGGAGGAAGTCTCTGGTAGACAGAGTTCCGGTAGTCAGAACGTCCCGTCCTTGGCAGAATTCGAAGTGTGTAGTGCGACCTCCTGTATGCTGGCGTGTTCCTGGGGAGGGGATTGCTGCTCCTTGTACAACGTAATGACTCCAATGTTTGCGGCAGGAAATCGCGGGATGAGAGTCTTCGATGGTTGTTCTATCAGCACCCATCATTGAAGCACCTGCACGTCGTTTGAGCGGGATTGCATGTGTTGTGAACGATACGTAAAGTTCCCTGTACGTCCACGCATACGGACGTTACGCGAGGACTTGGAAGGGAAAGATGGCGATTCGATTACTGCGCATATGCGCTGACGTGCCATATACGAGTGCTCTTTCGTACACAGGCGTATCGAAATTGAGGGTGGGATGGGTCAGAAATGGGCGGTAATTGAAGGCGAGGTAGTATGGAGAGCGCACCTTTAGTTGTCTCAAAATTCATCACCTTTGCGATCCTGTACATCTCCCTGTTCTCGTCCGAAGCTCTGCTGTCAGTTCCGGTGTAAGTATCGTTCCGACATGACGACGACCTTATTTGTTGCGGATGCTTCTTATGCAACAAGAAATCAGGCTGCTAGCCCATGAAGTATTGTGTGCAACGATTCGCCCTCCTGCAATGACGTGTCGGCTACGAAGCAAAAACCAGATAGGTGCCGAAAGCCGACCAACTTCAAACCCTCTGTGAACTGGGCTATTGCCACAATCGTAGTCTCTGTAGTAATCACCAACTCTTCCCGAAGCTAGATTCTTTGCGAGCCGAAAGACACAGGAATGTTGGAGGGGCGGATGAAAAACATGTCGGTGGGTTCCTGGCGTAGATGGATTCCAAAATGAAGCGAGTCATGGTTGAAAATGGCAGTTCCTTGTTGGGGAATAAAATTCCCCTTGACAGCAATTCGAAAAGGGATCGGTTCCCTTCTCAGCGCGGGTTAGACCGATACGAGTGCGAACTTCGACTGTTTCCTTCCCGTCTACATGCCTGAGCTTCGATACGGCATCACGTAGGAGAGAGTTTGACTGGGGATCGGCGCTCAGCTCAAACCGTCAGGACATTGAAATTGTAGCGTACGTTCGCAGTCCGTGTACTTGACAACGCTGAAAAGTTGGCGACTCAAAGATAAACAGGCATAGAGCTCAGCGTCTATCCTCAGTCCGTCTCCTCTTATTCGAGCTAGATCTCCATACCTATCAGAAATGCATTCATGTTTGGTACGAATGCGTTGATTGCGTGATTGCATTTGTCGTTCATGAGAAAAGCCTGGGACGCCCATGCTCTCGCCAGGCTCTGCACTATCCCGGCTTAGTTTTGGAAGTTCCTTAAGTGGAAGTCTGGTTGACCCAAGCGCGATCCTGTGGTTGCAGACGAGATATTCGGAGAGAAATAACGGCTTCATTGGAAGCAGGCCGCCAGGGAGCGTCGAGTTACATCAGTTAGGAAACGTTGAGCATCCGCCGATATGGATGCATAAGAAACACGCATGACGAAAGACTCATTTTCCCGTGCGCCTGCGGGAAGAAGATCTTCGCGTCCCACTTGGCTGAGTGGGAACGAACAGGTTGTCTGGGTAAGTCGTAAAAAATCAACACAGAACTCAAGGCGTTGACGGATTGACCGCGACATTTTATTGCGAATGCAATTCCGGGAATATGCCGTACTGCAGGAGTTGGAGAGCCCAGAATAACTTATAAACGGGAAAAAATATGGAGTAGCAATGTCCATGACCGGCGGTTGTGGAATTCGTGTTCGACCTAGGACTTGTGCAGGGTTGTCGTGTTGTAAGGTTTCTTCTGTAGAAAAGAGAGAAGATCCAAAATAAATTTTGGAGAGAGACCTGAGTTCTGTCGACGCAAAGTTTGCAAAAGAAAGTTGATCGAATTTCGAGCCAGCGGCAGGCCATGAAGTTCGCGATGATCTGTGGCCGATATTAAAGACTCTCTTCCTTCGTAGATGACGGCGATACCGTGATACTGGCTGGCGACTTGGTTGAGCATCGGGCGGGCTTTGCTCGATGACAGGGGAAGAAGCATTGGAATTGCGCTTGGGTGTGTCGTCGGCTTTGCTATTGTAGAAGAGTCATCGATGTGGCAGTATTGCCCCAGAATGTCATCAATAAGCTTTTCGGTACGTTGGCTAAAGTGCATTTTCCATAAAACCAACGAAGCGTCGAGGAAAGCCTAAAACGATCCGTCGAAATAGCCGTCCTAAAGGCCAGTTCACGATAAATTTGATGGAACCTTTTTTTTTTTAAAGAGGAAGCATGGGTTGGTAATAGTTCATTGGTAGTGAAGAAAGCCAAGAAATCCGCCAAAAAATAAGGCTCCTCAAAAGTAGGGAAAACGGAGGTCGTACGAATTCACCACGACGGAAATAACATAGAAGGGGGTTTCGGACGAGATTTCAGTGTTGCAATTACGT